GGATCTAATTGTAATATGAGAAGGCATCCATGAACCTTAAGAGCTCATGCCCTAATGATGGCATTGTGTGGTGATAGGACACAAACGATGATGAAATCTACCATTGTCGTGGTAGTGCTGAGGCCGTCACCTATCAACAACGGTAGGGTAATTTCCCCCAAGGGTATTAACGAGTCTCCGAAGAAGCTTACCATAGGGGTGTTGACTGGCTGTAGGTAGTCTTTCCCAATGCTGAGCTACTCAAAGGCCTCTTCGAAGAGGATGTCGACCGAGCTCCTTGTGTCTACCAGTATCCTTTAGACCTCAAAATTGGCTATCGCGGAAATTATCACTAGAGCATCATCGTGTGGTGTCTGCACCCCTTGCAATCATCATTGGTGAAGGTGATGGGGGTGTCCTGCCTTAGTTTCTTTAAATCTCTATCCTTGACTTGATGCAACCTGGTATAGGCCTTGTAGGCTGAGCTGGTCTCTCTTCCAAAGGTCATTTTCCTTGAGATGATAGCAACGACCTTGGCAAGGGGAGTTCGAACTGGGAGCGCACTCGTATGGCATACCTCTTCTTTGGGCTTGTGTTCTTAGATGTTGATGAAGCCACCAAGGTATCCATGCTAAACGAGGTCTGCCAAGTGGTGGCATAGGTCATGACAACTATTGGTCTCGTAGTTGTGGTCTTGGTCGAAGTCATAGTTATGGTTGCGGATTTGCATCAATATTTTAGCCTGCAATGCATTCATTGGGGGTGAAGTTATGGTACATCAGCAGTAGGGTTCTTGGTTTATGATCAGATCGGTGGTCCTACCTCTTACTTTCCCATTTTGACCTCCACCTATTGTGGCCCTTCCACTTCCAGCCATGTTGGTCCTCCTCTTTCCTGCGCAACGCTTCAGCCTCTTCAACATTCAAGTACTTTGTGTGTGCTTCATGAGTGCAATCAAAGTGGGCGGAGGGTTCTTCTACAGTGAGAAGTTGAACATCAATGAGTGCAACCCATTCATGATGGCGGTTATGGCCACGGACTGGTCCAAAGTTCAAACATGAAGAGCCTTAGCATTGAATCTTGCCAAATAGTCTCTTAAGGTCTCTCCTTATTTTTGTCGCACCTGCATAAGCCTAGACAAGGTCTTCCAGTGCCTCTAGCTAGTGGTGAACTATGCCATGAACTACGCTTCCAATTGCTCCCAAGAGGCTATGGACAACGGCAGGAGTGAAGCATTGCCTTCAACCTTTCAAGGTGATTGTTAGAGTTTGAAGCCTCATCATATCTCTAGAACTAAGGAGGTCAACATCCGATTGGGGGGAGCTCGTCCACGATCTCTTAGACAAAGATGGGCTCTTTTGCAGAGTATTGTTCTGCTAGTCGAGCTGTTGGAGGAGTTGCGTTACAGTCTACTTGGTTGTGTTCTAGTTCGGCCAACCTTTCCCGTAGGTCTTTGGTCTCAATGTCCTGGTTTGTTGGGGGCGCATTTGTGGATTTCTCCACTTTAGGGGCTGCTCGCCGGTCCTGGACTAACCTAGATGTGGCTAATCCATTCCTTCGTTGGAATTCTAGTATCGGAGTGGTGGGATCTACTACAAGTGTTGTGCACGCAAGGTTGTGGTTGAGAATTGGACTTTTGGGAGGGTTGAAGGTGCTCATGGTCTGATTGGACCTTTTGCAAATCCGTGTGGTTCCTTTTGGGGTCCTCAATGTAAGGATCAACCACTGTGGGCACTTGTGCAACAGGGTGAGAGGCTAGGGGAGATTGTGTTGATTGTCCTAGTGTTTCCATCATAGCAAGAATGCATTCAACCTTTAGTTGCATGGCGTGGAACTGTGCGGGGTTGATCGTTGTTTGAGGCTGGGGATCTCGAGGCAGAGAGTTGTGAAATGAGTGGGATCCCCAAGATGGGGAGGGAGCAATGAGTTGTGAAATGAATGGGATCCCATTCTTAGGCATGATTGTTTTCGGTGTACAGTAAGAGGTTAAGGAATCAACTTTTTGCACGATTGCCACTGACAACACCAATCTAATGTTGTCCGATCCAAAGTGGCTCGAACCAAGGACATAGTCAGATAATCTTGCCAACTGGACGAGGCCGAGGTGGAAGGACGAAGTCATATGCCGAAGAGATTTGCAATCACCGAAAGAGTTAGAGGCCTAAGGAGTTAACTCCCTGTTAGGCACAGAAATGCTTAAGGCAGTGATGGAGAGGAAGATCAGTTAAGACGAACCATAGTGAATGCAAAAGAGTGCTCCAAAAGGTCCAAAATCTAAAGTCCTTTACATTGAGTAGGGGGTGCCTATTTATAGCTGAGCATCTGTCTTAGACAAATTAGGCTTTTGGGGTTATCAGATGAAATTATCCACTGAGGTTTTCGGGAGATTGCCTTTTTCCTAGGTGGAGTTTGCTTCCTTGTCCGTGTAAAACACTCCTTCTGATTGTGCTCGTTTGTCATGCGGTTACGAGCGATGAGGCTGACACATTCTGAAGAGGGTGACCACGGAACTCACCATGTGGCATCCTTGGCCAATTTGGATACCACCCGAATATTCATGTGCTTATGGTTCTATAACTTGAAATAATAAAGGAGAGGTCCTAAAAAATTTTAAAAATTTCAAGTGATTAATGTATAGGATTCATGACCATCACTATGGCCGAACTGAGGGATGGGCTAGAAACCCATAGACTATCAAAGGATCAAATAAAGCTACGGGAAGATGTACAAACATGCAGGGAGAATGCATGAGCAAAACATCAACATATCATACTCTCACACATCTATCATAAGGAAACCAAGTGGTTAATTGGATAGCAAATGGAGGCCACTGATAAGATCAACGTTTTCCCCACTTTGAGCATGAAGTGAGCTCTAGAAAATTGAGGGAGAGAAGAGGGGTTAAGTGAATTTCTTCCTGTTTTCATCCTTCCCCTGTACCTTCTACTTATAATAGAGCCTCAACCAAATTTGGTTTCAACTAACAAAAAAAGACAAAAGATAACAAACTCCTAACAACTTATGACAAACCACTAAAAGATTATTCTCTGAATCGTGCAGGTTTGATGATTGCCCTCTTGGGTCATTGCATTATTGACTGACCAGCCCCTGCATTTTTATCACTGCCATCTCCTACAAGTTTGACCTTTTCCTCAAGGTCAAAACCTGGAAACTACTTGCGGAAGTGGTGTAGTGGTTCCTAGGTTGCTTCTTCCAAGGGTAAAGTAGCCCACTTGATCAAGACTTGGGGATGCCAATGATGGTTGATCCTGATGCGTCGAAAATCCAAGATTTCTTCGGGAACATAAAGGGGATAAGCATCATCCGACAATGGTGAAAGAGACATAGAGGTAGCAACCGTAGGATCAGGACACCATTTAAGCACAGAGATGTGAAATATTGGATGAATCCTTGCTGAAGCCGATAATTGTAGTCGATATACCACAGGACCAACTTTGTTTATTATCAAGAAGGGACCAAAATAATGTTTGAAAAGTTTTTGAGAAGCTCGAGTAGTCACAAAAGACTGTCTATAAGATTGGAGCTTGATATAGACCCATGCCCCTACGGAGAACTCCTTGTCACGCCTATGCTTATCAAGTTGATTTTTCATGCGAAGCCTTGCTCGCTGCAAGTGTTCCTTCAACTGTAAAAGCATAGTGTTGCTTTGCCCTAATTGCTCATCCAATGCTACGATAGAAGTTCTCTCAAATACAAAATCAAGCAGGGATGGTGGTGTCCTGCCATATAGAGCTTGGAAGTGTGTCATGCCAATGGAGGAGTGAAAAGATGTGTTGTACCAGTACTTTTCCCAAGGAAGAAATTTAAGCCATAATTTGGGTTGTTCGCTCATGAAGCAGTGTAAATATGTTTCCATGCAGTGATTCAAAACCTCAGCTTGGCCATCTGTTTGGGGATGGTAAGCTCTACTGAACTTGAGGAAGGTGCCTTGTAATTTAAAAAGCTCCCACCAAAACAAACTAACAAAAATCCTATCCTTATCACTCACAATTGATTTAGGGAACCCATGAAGTCTAGAAGTCTCTTGCACAATTAGTTTAGCCAGCTGGGATGTGGAAATAGAGGAAGGAAGAGCACAAAAATGGGCATATTTTGTGAGGTGATCTACCACCACCCAAATTGCAGTCTTACCTTGAGAAGGAGGTAGTCCTTGAATAAAATTCATGGCTATGTCTTCCTAAACCTGAGATGGAATGGGGAAAGGCTTCATACTTGTTCTCAAGACAGATTGAGCATTTAGCCACAAATGCTTTAGTATCCCGAATGACCACCAACTAGAGAACAATGGTATTCTTCAAGCAATTTGAGTTGTAGCCCAGATGTAGGTGGGATATACACCTTGTCGAAAAATAGTAAGCCACCTTGAAAGCTTAATTGAGGTATTGAATAGAGTTGCTGGTAATTGATCGAATCATAGACTAGCAGTTCAAATCTTCCAAAAGGAACTTGCATAGTTTATAAAAGATGCTGATCACACGTTAAGAGAAAGTTAGAAATAAGGATAGATCTGCTTGAGACCATTTGGACAATGCATCTACTATTGGATTAGAGGAGCCAGATTTGTACTGGATTGTAAATTCAAACCCAAGAAGCTTGGCCAACCATTTTTGCTGCTCTGGAGTTTGGATGGTTTGGTATAATAATTCTTTCAAACTTCGGTGGTCCATGAGGATTGTAGATGGCCTTCCTAGTAGATATTGACGCCATTTAGTTACAGCAGGAGTGATGGCTTTCATCTCCCTAAAATAGGCTGATGATGCTTGAAACTGAGGACCCTATTTCTCACTGTAAAAGGCAATAGGGTGGTGCTGCTGTGATAGAATTGCTCAAATGGTGATTATGGAAGCATCTGGTTCAATGGTAAATGGGAACTCAAAGTTAGAGGGCATGGAAGGCATCACCCGTAGTAGGAGTCCATTGGAAATTATTGTGTTTCAACAGTTCTGTAAGGGGAGCTACGATTGTAGCATAATTGCGCACAAATCTCCAATAATAACCTGTCAAGCCCAAAAATCCACGAAAAGCAGTGATAGAATTTTGTTTAGGCCAGTCAACCATTGCACTGATCTTTTGTGGATCAGCGCTTTCACCCCTTCAGCTGAAATTAGGTGCCCTAGGTACTTAACCTTCATTTCACCAAAAGAGCATTTGGGCAATTTAGCATAGAAGTTGTAGTGCATTAAGGTAGATAGAACAGAGTCTAAATGATGCAAATGATCAGTCCAAGAAGCACTATACACAAGGATGTCATCGAAGAATACAGAATTCATTGTAGCTTGAAATGTTGCCAGTGCATTCGATAATCCGAATGGCATCACGTGAAACTTGTAGTGCCCTTCGTGAGTGCGAAAAGCAGTCTTCGGAATATCACCATCATGCACTCTAATTTGGAAATACCCAGAATGTAGGTCAATTTTGGAGAAGATTTTGGCACCATGAAGTACGTCCAAGAGTTCATCAACTGTAGGGATGGGAAAACAGTCCCTTACCATTACTGCATTAAGTGTTCGATAATCAACACGAAAGCACCATGAGCCATCCTTCTTTTTCACCAAGAGAATTGGGTGTGTCTAAGAAGAGAGTTGTTGGTTCCGATGCATCCATTGGAACCAACTCAATGGTTGTCCGGTCATGTAGAAGGAGGCTATATCCAGTCGTTGCTCATCAGGTGTGCAGTGAAAATTGAAATACTGCTCAGCTTGGAATATCCAATTGTGTGGGTTTGTGCCTTCAGCGAAGGGGACGAATGGCGATGGTCGGAGATGAAGACGAAGCCGCTGATGAGGACGGAAGTGGTGAAGTGACATCAATGGGTGTCTTATTGGAGCGAAGGAGGGTCATCTGACGAACTTGCTCACTGAGGGTGGATTGAATGTTGTTGAGCTTGGTCTAATGTGCATCACGAGAAGTGCGAAGATCATCAATGGCTTCCTCTAGTCTGGTTTGGTGGCAAGTGTGAACACCAGTGGTGGTATGGGAAGGAATGAGAAAGCAATGAAAGCTCCAAAATGATAAGATCAGCGTTTTCCCCCACTTCGAGCGTGAGGTGAGCTACAGAAACATGTGGGAGAGAAGAGGGGTTAAGTGAATTTCTTCCTGTTTTCATTCTTTTACTTTATAATAGAGCCTCAACCAAATTTGATTACAACTAACAAAAAACAAGACAAAAGATAACAAACTCCTAACAACTTATGACAGACCACCAAGAGATCATTCTCTTAATCGTGTAAGTTTGATGATTGCCCTCTTGGGTCGTTGCATTATTGATTGACCAGCCCCTGCATTTTTATATCACTGGAGGCCACTCAAGACGGAACACTCAACGGGAAATTAATGATGATTGGAAGTTCAAGTTCATTTCTTTTGTATTAATCACTTCCTGACACGCACACAGAGATTGCTATTCTTTTTAAGTGAATGGTACAACATCACATCAACAATCTCAAAGTAATTACACAATTCTATTCGGTTGCTCTCTTGTTAGGTTTTCTTAATATCTTGTCCCATCTTATCAAAAAATATATTAAAAATATGACATCATCGTTTTCTATTATCTTGGATGGAATATTAGGGAGGTTCAGCCATTTACCCTTTTTATGGAAATATTGATTTGTCTTTTAGTCTATGTTTGGTTGGATAAAAATTAAGCCAAAAACATAAAGTTGTAAAAAAGTTGTTAATGATAATGATTTTTACCCAAGGTTGACCTAACCAGCTGAATTGTTCAAACTTTCACCGGGCCATGATTCTTGCGTTGGTTCTCCTAAAACTTAGACATTGGTCAACAACCATCTGACCTAGGTGGTTGGTTGTTTACCTATTCAACTTGATTATCAATCATAGGTTTTAATGTGTATGCAAACTTCTGAACACCACATAACTCTAAGCCAGAGCTGCGTTGTTCTACTAGTTTTTGCCCAGAAAAACCCTTTTTGGCCTCATATCGCATTTTTAACATTTTTGTTTACAAATAAAAAAATTTAAAAATTGAATTAAAATATAAAAGAATACTTATATATACATAATATAAATTATTTTATTAATAAAATATATGTTTCTAAACACATATATACACATACATATGCTGATGTGGCATGGCTTTACCCCTTAAACCCGAGCAATTGAACTACTTGAGACCCACAAACAAACAAAAACGGTTCAACTCCTAGGTCTATTTTTAAAACAGACCGTATAAGCTCCTCTGAACCAGATAAAAAAAAAAAAAAAAGAAAAACAACAGTTGCATTACAGGTCGATTGTATCGATATTTTGAAGCTTGTTCTTACATCTAGTTTTGAAACTTGGGTTAAAATAATCTCAAGACATTTCCTTCATCTTTAGTTTCTATGAAACTGTGGCTGAAACTGATGTTGGGCGGATAATTACTTACGACCTTGATTATTTTATTCATTAATTGATTTATTATTTTATCCACTAAAAAAATACAAAGAAAAGGTCGTTCAAAGGAGTAAAGGAACTTCAATAAGTTATCCGTTGAAACATTCAAAGCTCCAGGGATGATTCTTTGCAACGTTTTTAATGCGTGGAACTTTATCAATCAAAGACATCAATACATCATCGCTAGTTGATTTCAGTATGGGACTAAAATACTAGAATTGGACCCATTCTGTATAATTAAATAGGCTTTGTTCTCAATCTGTCAAAGTAACCGGCAATACCGTATTTATTTGGGAAATTGTATTCTTCATTTCAAGGAGGCAATAAAAGAAACGACAAGATTTCTAATTTCCACCGTAGATATATAAACATTGAGAAGGTTACACTCTATGCACCAATACTCGCCCATCAACTGGTATTAATTCCGAACTAGCATCTATCTTAAACGTACTTTAAGCCTATAAATCATAGTTTTTAAAAAGGAATCGGTGATTGAATCGGTTAGGGGTTCAGTTACCGGTTTAAATGGTCTGACTGTTCAATCCAAACGGCCGGTTTGTTCTGACAAAAAAATTAAAAAATTAACCGTTTAAACGGTTTGAACGGTTAACTGCCCAGTTCAACGATTTGCTAACCAAAATCAACGGTTTCAGGGGAGAAAGCAGTTTTGAAAGAAAACGGAATCGGTCAGGTGACCGGTTCCCAATTTTTCCAGTCCGATTCGGTTTTAAAAACAATGCTACAAATTCTGACCCTGGGCTGAACCGTCATTCTCCCAAAAGAAAATTAAACAAGTAGCTTCTCTCTTGAAAACGATACGGAAAAAGTTGTGTGGTGTGTGGAATTTTCTTATGCATGTCTTGATTTCTCCAAACATTTTCGCAACTCATGTTTTATTATGATTGGTCCAGCCAGCATTGCAAGATGAACAACTTTGTCATCCTATTTCAGTAGAAATTTTCATAGAATAATCTACAAATTAATTCAGATGTGGGGTGTGAAAGTATTCCCAATGTGTGGTTATAGTGGCTGGTTGGAACAAGAGTTTCGAGTATTTTTATTGGTAATAGATCCATACCCTTTTATTGATGAATTCATCCTTAAAAGTGGTTAATGGGAGATATTCTCAACACACAGTTGGGATATACTGTGGGGTGCCTTTTGTGCGGCACAGATGTGAATTCACTTGATGCTCCCACATGTTCCAATCAACCACTGCAGCTGCACATTGCGAACATTACACCAACTCCCCAGATATGCCCCCAATGCACGGCTGAAACGTGTTGTAAAGTCAGCGTGAGGCGCGCTCTGTGAGAATTTTCCTTTAAACCTCGTTTTTCTACGTCTTCTTCTTTTTCTCCCTTTTGTGGCAAACATGTGGGTGGGGTTTTTTATTTTCCGGGAAACGGGCAATTTATTGCGTAAGAGACTAGTCAATGACCGAAGGAGCTGAACATGACCAACCCAACGAATCAAAATGAAGAAACCACGAGATCCACGACAACTTGTCGGCACCTACCTATCAGCTGATGACCGATGGGAACTTTCTGTACCCTTTTACACGCTACGGGCTACGGCTGAATGGAAGTCTAAGATTTCTCAATTAAGAAGAAGACTCAAAATAAGAGAGGAAATTGCATCACAGCTGCTGCAAAGTAGCATTATTGATTGGTTTGAAATTCCATGCGGTGGCGTGGGGGTCTGGTGCTTACTTATTAGTGACATCCAGAAATGGATCCACAATTGTATTCAGTATTCACACGGCATTCTGTAACTACCCATGCGTATGCTGTGCAAATCTTGGAGATATATATGCATAGATCCGGCATTCTGTAACTACCCATCCTGCTGGCTTTTGTCCCCTTTGTTTCGAAGGGTGGAGATAATGGCGGAAGCCCATGTTAAGGCGGTCATATTTGTGCAGTAATCCCATCGAGCTCAAGATGTATCGGATTGGGAATCCTCTTTCAAGCCCATGGTACGTTTGGTGTTCGATTATATTTCCGAATGAAGATATGTGTCTTTTTGGGGTAACGGCAAGAACTGTACAGTTGTTTGTTTTCAGCATCAGAAGCAACTTTCATCAGTTTTCTTCAACTCAAACATACCTCCTCTTTTATATCCTACCATTTTTGGAAACTCTGGATACAACTACAATAACAAGACCTTTAATTTGGGGAAGTTGAAGTAGTAAAAGGAATTTGAGATAGACTAAGATGTAAACCTAGATGAGTGTCCTGAAATGCCTCCTCGAGGCTAAAATTTTGGACAACTTCACAAAAACCGGCTGGAACAAATTGTTAAATTGGAAACAGAACAACCTTGGATTAAATCATGGTTTTCCTTTTATTTTCCCAAAATGTTTTATACAATACAGATTTCATATGGGGTGGAAGAATAATTCTATATAGTTTTTGTCTAAAAATTTTTAGATGAAGTTTACATTTCAGTGAATTTTTAGTGCATTCATTTGCCTGCAGGCACGTTACTGGAAAGTTAATTGCATGAAGTGTGTATAAAACCGTGAAATTAATGCATAATTTTACGGTTCAATTCCTTTTTTATTTTATATTTTATAATTCAGATTCATTTAAAATCATAGTAATCAGATATGTGTTTGGTTTCATGGGCGTTTATGGATGGGCTGTTCATTTGTACTTTTTCACTTTAAATATTTCCTATTTCTATTGTTTGATTGGACATCACTTTAAATATGTTTTACCTTTTACCTCAGATTAATACCCATTAAAGTGTGCTACATCAGCATTTGGTTTCAATAAATGTTAGGATATTTGGGGAAACAAGAATTTAACGTTTTCACAAATGCCCCATGCACAAAAATCAAATGTTTCAGTTTTCTACCATTTATTTGATAAACAGTGAAACCAAATAGTTGCTACATATTGTTTTATATACAATCAACCTTAATGCCTATGTGGTGTTGATGTGGTGACATTTTTTTTAATAAACATTCATAGAACCAAATACCACCAAAAAACAGAGAACATATAAAAATTTTCAAACATTGGTGTCCAAAACAGAAGAAAAACACATATACTACATGTACAATACATCGGGCTCAGGTAACCCAAGACCTCAACTCGAGCCCAACCCGAAAAATAAAAATAAAAACCTGCCTTTACAAGCCCATGCCCAACCCGAGGCCCAGAAAATCTAACCCAACCCGTGAAAAAAATTGGGTTGGGCCGGGCCAGGATCAGGTTAGGCCCGCCCAAGTTGCACCCCTATTTGGAGCTAGCTTGAAATTACCTTTCAGATACGGACTTAAATCTTTATTTTTTGTCTATGTAATATATTATTTGGTTGATTTAATCATTTGCACTTTTTCATGAATTTCAATTTTGTGTTAATTAACTCTGTTATATAGTCTTGACTCTTAATAGTTTGAGGGCAACTGTGCAGCATATTATTTTTCTTGTGAACCTTGGTTTCTAGGCTATGGTTTAAAATAAGATGATGAATTAAAATGGCATATCCACGCTTCTTTTATGATTTCATGAAATATCATTTTATCTTTATTTATATTTCATAATATCTCTATCATGTCTATAATTTTTACATTATTTCTATATGATATTTTCAATATTTAGAAAATTATTCTTGTATTTGAATGACCAATATTTCTATCAACACTGACATTTTAAACCTTGATGAACAATTATGAAGGAAACCCTAAACTTAAAATATGATCACTTCATTGACCCCTAGTTTGATGAAAATATAGGCACTCATCACAAATTTCATTAACTTCCCTAGAAGGAAATTGGTGATAATCGTTAATGAATGAAAAATAAGACTATTGCCCCTTTTTAATCAAAAAGAGAAACCAAGTAAAATATCAAGAGAAGCCCTAGAACTTCATTCAAAAAAAGAAAAAAAAAATCAATTAATGATATATTACACGGCCTATGATCTTGAGATTTCCTTTATGCTCAACACCCAATGTTGCACCAAATCATAAGAATTGATAAAATAGAGCAAACTCCTAATCGATCAATACACCGTAAGTGACCTTAAAATCTCTCTAACTAATACACCAACCAAGGAGGTGGATTAGACCACCAAAACGTTAGAGATTTCCAACGTTTAACCTTCTGAGATATATAATGAGCAGTACAGTTATAAGACCTATAAATTAACAGGAGGATACTATATTATAAAATTGATACAAAATATCTTTTTCAATGCCCTTACAAGCCAAGATGGAATTCAAGGAGTCTGAACACATGATCACAGCTTTCCATCATTGAACCCTAGCAAAACCCAAAGCTTTAAAAATTGACCAAAGTTCAGCTTCCTCACTAGCGTCCAGAGAGGATAAACTACCAACTGCAGCCATAAGAAACTTGCTATTATACAATACTGCATTATAAACTGGATGCTCAGTTCTTTCTGGTTCCACTTGTCCATTTTCTATTACCTCATTGCTGGTGAGGTATCTTGCGACACAGAAATACCAAAAAAGGTTGAGAAAGCTGAAAATTGTCAACATCCGATAGAACTTATCCAGATGACTTTTGCTTATGGAGTCAGAAAACCAAGTTGGTTCAATAGCTTCAACAATGGCAACACAAACCACGCTGAGGATCTTGCCAACTCCATTCATACCCTTGCTTAATGAGCTTGCGTACATCTTCTTCGATTCAGGAAGTTGCTCATCTAGGAAATTCTCCAGACCATCCCATGACAATCCTTCTGCAGATCCCAGCAAGATGAATTGGGGAAGTAGGGATAAGACACTCATGGGGACGACATCATTAGGCTTGTCTTGTAAACCATGTTTCCTTATAACGTCCAACCTTTTATCCTCCACTCCCTCAGCAATAGCGCTACATAATAGAAACAGAAACATCCCAAGGCCCATTCTAATTCGGATCCCAAGGCTTTGTTGTGAAGGAGATATGCTTAATTTCTTCTGCAATGATGTGTAGATATGGCTAGTGATCCACCTTGATAGAGAAGCACAGATTAAGAGGATGAAGACAGGGAATCTTGTGTTATGCAAGGCATTTGCTTGTTCAATAAAGAGCGTATTCCCTATAGAGCTTACCAGGCCAACTATAATGAAGGTCGTTAACATGAAGACAATTGGCCTAGCTTTCCCTACTTTTATTTTATTTTCTTGTCTATTCATGGCATGTGATGATGGGGCACAAGTGGCAACTTCAGCTGATCCCCTGCATCCCATTGAGACAACATATAGTTTAGATAGACAGAGGCAGGCAGAGAGAGAGAGAGAGAGAGAGAGAGAGAGAGAGAGGTCACCTGGGGCTGTTGGTTATTGTGAGGCTCACTGACGTGAGCTGATTACTATCTTCATTGTTATGCTTCTGGTGGAGTTGGGTATCATCCAATGCCGGATGGGAGACAGGTAACCCACATTTGACGGGACTCCCGCATCTTTTGATGCCGGTGTAGAAGGGAGTACCCGCACAAAAAACTCCAGTTCCAAAGCCCATGAGTAATGCAATGGCCCCAACAACGAGGGCCCAGTTGAATGACACCAGAACATTACTCAAGATTATGGCCGTAACCATGCTTACACGCATTTGAAACCGTGTACAGGCCTTAGCTCTTTCCTCATCCTCGTCATGGTAATGGGCAGACAATTGATCAGCAAGAAACTCTCTTAGCGATGCACTCTGCCCTGCAATGCCCAAGGCCATTAGGAATAGTCCCATATAAAAAGGTATTGCTTTGCTTTTGCTAAGCCAGTTCAAAATGGAATGAAAGCGGTTTGATTCGTCGTTGAAGTAGATCGGCAAGGCTGAAAGTGATAAACAGGCCATTCCCTAAAAGCAGAACAAAATTTTAGTTCAATTAGGCAAGAACTTCTTAGCAAATCTGTAGAAGAGAAAGACTAATATTTCTAGATAATATGGTGGTTATGGAATCTGACCTAGATTATCCCAATTCCAAAGAGCAGAGAACCGAAGGATTTTAGAGTCCATTTGGTTCACAGTTGGAATCGAACCCTTCAAAATTGGATTTGGAATAATCTATTTCCATAGTCTATTTGGTTCACACAAGAATGAGAATGGGATTTGAAATCAACAAGAATGAGATTTTATTCCCAAGGGAGGAGGAAGGAATGAGTCCAGATCTCCTGCCCACGAGAACTCTGCCCATGTTTCTCTCAACCATGCATGGAGAACATTTCATTCTCTGCATAGTATTATGCAGGGGGAGATGTTCTCAATTCACGGGGGGTAGTGAATTGTGCGCAGAGTCATGGGCAGGAGATCCGGAGTTGGTGGGAATGGCCATTCCACCAGGAATAGAATGAGATTCAGATTCTACCTAACCAAACAGTTGGAACTGGAATAGCACATTCTGATTCTGATTTCAGACCCCTATTCCTGTGAACCAAACGGGGCCTTAACACCTATTTCCGATATTCATCTCTAGGGTTATAGATGGAATTGAAATTCGGGCATGTTGGGCTGGATTTAAGGTCAGCGAAGGCCCAACTCTAAATTTTGGACATAAAACCCAAACCTGAGTTTTACACCAATTTTGCCAACACATACCCAACTTGAACTAAAATTTAACAGACCCCGGCCCAAGCTGGGCCTAGGTTGGTCAGGTGGGCCTATTGAACACAAAGTATTGAATTGATACATGTATGCATGTTAGGGGTGTAAGCAAGCTAAATATTAGAACTCGGCTTGAAGTTATCAAGTTTGGGTCAAGTACAAGCTTCACAATACATTTATATTTTTTCAATATATTTATATTTATAATATAAATAAATGTTCATCTTTTGACATTAACTTGTTTAAGATATAAATAAATAGATTTATAGTCTAAGTTCATAATTTATTTTTATTTTCGGTGTTTATAATATCAAATTATCTATAATTGTTTTAATATATTCAAATTTCCTAATATATTTTTATTTTTAATATATATAATATCAGTCTAGTTATTATTTTTAATACTAATTTATTTATAATCAGTTTGAGTCAAGTCAAGCTCAAGTAAACTCATGTAACAAGCAAGTATCGGCTCTAGTTGAGTTTGAGCTCGAAACATGAAACTAGATCGAGCTCAAGCCAAGTTTCAAGCTCTAAGTTTCTGAGTTGTGCTCGAGCTTAAGCACCCTGATACTCAGCTCAGTTACACTCCTATATATGTTTATCTGTATAGGCACGAATGGATAGATTGATGGACAATAGGCGAATTGAACCGATTATATGAACAGTTCTGATTCTGAGTTTTGTGTCCCAATTATAATTGGGTCAGGACCGGTCTTTGCTATTTAGAACCGACTAAAACCGGAACCAATTATGTGATTCATAATATATAAAGCCTCTAGATTTTTCTTTTAATTTTTTTTATATTTTGTCTAAAAAGGTAAATTTAATACAGGAATCAGTATATACAATAATTTTAGCTAAAAACACTTGCTTTATTAATAAATTAATTAATTAATTATCATTTTTATGAAAAATGAAGTTTCAAGTTGTCATATTAAAAATAATTTATAGACCCAAGTATCCCAATTATTAATAATTGGTTCAGTACTGGTTATGTCCCAGTAATCGTGTTGGTACTGGTTCCATCTGACCCGTACCCAACCCATTGGATGCTATAATAGATGGTTGATCTGGATACAGATTATGTCAAGGTTGGGCAATGATCAGGTCAGGCTCAAGCTGGGCTTGTTCTTGTCAAGGGCCAGGCCAGGCTCAACACAAAAATTAAAAAGAACCAAGGCAGTGAGCCCAAGACCAGTCTGACGACCAAAAATCCAAGGCAGTGAAAAACGGGCTATTTTATACAAATACAAATACATGGAGTGCAATTGTATTTTGTATTGTTTTGTATGTATTTACATTATACATATTTATATGTATTTTCTAAATTAAACGCAATTAATAATATCTGGTAATTAGTAATTTTTTTTCCACCATTCTTTTCGTAGGCAAGACTTGAGCTTGATTCCTACCTTCATGAGGTTTTGGGGGAGGGTTAGCCCCATAGTTGGTCCAACTGCCTAGAGGAATTAAAAATAAATAAAACAAAACAAAAACCTATACTACTATTAAAAATGTGAATGGAAAAATTTGTTTGACTAAAATACCTAACTTTTTAATTTGGTCCCTCTTTAATTGTAAGGAAGGAAATGTAATTTGAATAATCACTTTTCTCTTCATTTAGATCCATCTCATTAAGCCTTATATTAAGGTATTAAATTCCATTAACATTCATTGAATCATATTCTTGACTAGAATACCCCAGATTTTTGAAATTAGTCCCTCTTTCGTTGTGAGGGCGCAAAATGTAATTTGAATTACTGCATTTCACCTAATGCAGTTTCCTCTCATTAAGTCTTATATTTAGCCCCTATTCATTCATTAAATCCTATATTAAATAACCATGACAAAGAAAATTTGTTTTTATTTGTGACAGAAATAAAATACAATTTTAAAACCAAACAGAATGTAGATGTTTTCCTATTTGGTGGAGAGTCAACAATTTAACCTTTTGGGTCAAAATGTGCCAACACTTGATGTCATAGTTAAATAATAATAAAAATTAAAAGAAGATGAAAAATACACAAAAGTATAAAATATGCAAAAACAGTCGTAGAAAACATTCGGGTACATATCTAATATTGTATATTGTCATATTAAGCAAAAGCATGTGTGACAAATAAGAACAACTTTTGTAGACAGAAATATAAAAAAATTGTAAATAAATTTGGAAACATATTATTTACTATCTTCATTATCATAAAAATTTCCCACATGCAAAGCATGTGCAGACTTACTAGTAAAAAAATAAAAGGTGAATGCAATAGTTTAGTTTTGAGACATAAAATTCATAACTTGCCACATGTCTTAGGATTATTATTAAGGACCCACCAATCAAGCTTTTCACGAGCAATGTGAGCTTGTTCTTGAAAAGATTGATTCGGCTTGGTTTAAACCGAGCTTCTAGCCAAGCTCTATCCTAATATATAGGCTTGTTTACGGTTATACACACATACACATACATATAATTTTTTATTTGTATGTTTTTGTATATAAAATAAAAAATACATCTTTTATATTTTATTTTTTATAGGAAGTTTGGATCACAATTGAGCTTGAGCCAAGCTGAATCTGAGCTTAAGTCTCTAACTCGAATTGAGCATGAGCAAAACATTTTCTTGGTGATCCAAACTCGTATAACTAGATATTCAGCTTAGCTTGACCCAAATCCACCCATGCCCATCAAACCGAGGGTCCCACATCGAAGATTTAAAGGTAAAAAAAAGGGTCAATGGTGGTCAAAAGTTCTAATTAAGTTTTGATAGAAATATAAAAAAAATGTAAAGAAATTTGGAAAACATATTATTTACTATATTTATTATCATAAAAAAATTCCCACATGCAAAGCACGTGTAGACTTTCTAGTAAAAGATAAAGAAGTGAACACAATAGTTTAGTTTTTCAACGTAGGATTCATAACTTGCCACATGTCTTAAGATTAGTATTTACGACCCACCAAACAGAATCTAGATTTTTTCCTATTTGGTGGAGAGTCAACAATTCAACCGTTTGGGTCAAAATGTGCCAACACTTGATGTCATAGTTAAATAATAATAAAAATTAAAAGAAGATGAAAACACACAAAAGTATAAAATATGCAAAAATAGTTGTAGAAAACATTCGGGCATATATCTAATATTTTACATTGTCATATTAAGCAAAAACATGTGTGACAAATAAGAACAACTTTTGTAGACAGAAATATAAAAAAATTGTAAATAAATTTGGAAACATATTATTTACTATCTTCATTATCATA